GATGCTGAAGGAACTAAACGAAGTAGGAAAGAAGATCGGAGAGCGAATACATCGGCGGAAGACTCAGCTCAGAAGGCCCTTTGCGAAGGTGCGAAAATGGAACTGAGCACAAAAAGCACTCATATTATTAAGACGTCTTCTTATGTGTATCTTGGAGGTTCGAACATGGAGAACGACTAGAGAAAAGAACTCAACAGAAGAAGAAGAGCAGTCCGGGCCGCCTTCGGGCCTCGGAAGGAAGCCAGTGGCTGACTAGCGGACCTGCAGCTTCATGCCCATCGGTTCGACCAAACTTCTCCCGGCGTTCTGTTAAGCGGCTAAGACTGGGACCGACACTGTAGCCACGTTGAAAGCTCTGGACCACCCAGAGGCGGCTCGAGCGCAGTCTTCTGAAGATGATCTGACACAGGCAACATCTAGTCAGACTTTGCAATGGGGATATGAGAAGAATGTCCCGTCTTTGTGACCCACAGGAAAAGTTGCGAAAGTGAAGCATCGATGGGCAGGTCACATTATCAGAAGAACAGACGGCAGACAAGAATATTTAATGGATTTCTCGAGTAGCCAAACGTCCTCAAGGAAGAACACGAGATGAGCTGACGTGTTCGTGGAACGGATGGACCAGCTGAGAAATCAGCTGGATACGACTTTTGCCCCTGGGACCTGAGAAATCAGCTGGATACGACTTTTGCCCCTGGAACTCAGCTGGATACGACTATCGCACCTGGAACTCGTGGACGCAGCACCGATGACAATCAAGAAGATTGTGGATGTCTGAAGCGAGGCACTGGGACAGCTGGAAAATTTGTGCTGAGGCCCGCCACGTAAAGATGGGCCATCTCATCGTAAGTGACCAAGTAAGTAACGCTGTCAGAACATTTTCATACACTAACGCAGCGCCCACGACGCACTTTTACACGGCTTCTGCTGAAAAAATCACAGCATAAGAATAGTTTCGACGCTTGTGCCCTTGTTGAAGAAAACGCTGAATGGTACTGCACCACTAGGGGACACCTTGATGTCATGTTACTATGCACCACTATTGGGTACTAATAGTGATGCATACTGACATCAAGGTGTTGCAAACTTTCTTAACGGAGGGAAGAGAAAAGCGTCGCTTCTCATTAGATGAGAGGCGTAATTCAACCTGTACGACTACCAGAAACTGCATCTTTATGGCAATGGGCTTATATTAGTTAGCATATTTAGCCATAGGCAATCTTTGCTCTTTTGTCAGTATTTGTGATCAATCGGATCCCTTTCTCGTTCTTCTTCTTCTTCGTTTTGCCGGCGCGTCATCCATTTGATCATCTTTTCCTGCACGTCGCCTTCTGGATCGTCTCGTTCGTCTTCGAGATCTTGAACGCCTCGATCTGAAGGGCTTATGAAGGGACGTTTTTTTATGGATGATTGAGTCTCACCTCCGCGATCTACGGCTTCCTCTTCTTCGTCTTCGAGATCGACTCCTTCTTCTAGAGCGTGACCTAGAGGATCTTCTGGATCTTGAACGGCGAGATCTCGAACGTCGGGATCTCCTTCTGGATCTTGAACGGCGAGAACGGCTACGTCTCCTCGATCGAGAGCGGGATCGGCCCGGTGATCGCGAACTGCGTCTTCGGCGGGACCGCCTTCGTGAACCTTAAATCTTTCTTAATAGTGCACACAGAAAAATTGAATAAACTGACGCGAACGAGTTTTTCCTGCACTTGCTCTTGGGTCCTTTCCTGCACCTGCTCGAGATCTGGGCTGAACTTCGGGTGAGGAGTCTTCATTATCGTCATCGTCATTGGATCCACGACGTCTTGTGCTCTTGCTCCGTGTCGTAGGAGGCATGGTTAGTAAATGAAGATACCACATGTTGTTTTAGCTTTTATATACTTTGCTATCATCTATGATTTCAAAACATCAACATCATTTGGACTAATTCTTCTAGAGAGCAGCGGCATTTCACAAGGTTTCTGATTTACAGGTTATCGACTACATCGCTCACAATCAAGTGAAGCACTTATAATTTTTAAACCTAAAAGAAACACTACAAACTTCATTCTATTTTGTGCGAGGGAACACTTTCTACCTTGTTCGTAACATCTTGGATGTCGTAAAGATTTCCCGCTAAGATTTCCGATGCGTAAAAATAGTGGAAAACGCCGTAGGCAGCAGCCGGATCAGTCTACATTTTTCCCCATTCCCTCCTTGTAAAATTTTAAACGCTAACGACGAAATGATCCACCGGTGGGTCATTTGATATCGGAAGTTCTAACCTTGTCATTTCACGATGCTTCACGGGATTTTGGCACATGCTTTCAGCCAGAGGTGTCCGAGATCGGAGTACGGTACAGTTATTTTACAGTAAGTAAACCGTGTGTAAAAAACTAAGCACAGAATTTGGCTCGAATTTTTCAGAGAACAAAGCACTCCCGTTGAGTGCGCATTACAGGAAGTACGGGGCATAGTAAAACTCGTACATTTGTATTACCCATGGGATCTTTTTACTTTTCAAAAAGTTTGGATATGATGTGGAACGATTTTTTGGCATGCGATAATGAATATGATGGTCTCGGAGGCTACTGCTGTTTTTTATATCGATTATATATTTCTTGCGGAAATCTCACTCAGATCTTCTATTATTTCTGCAGTTTACATTAGAGTTTAAAAACGAATTGTATGCCTATTCGTGATCACCATGTGTATCCCCAAAATGCAATTTTTGGCTTGCTTGGCTACCGTAACCTCCGCGCATCAGGAACTGAGAAGAATGTCAACCTTCAACAACCCATCTAGGATTACTTCTTAATATTTGTTCGAATTCAAAAACAGTAACCATCGGACACAGATGGATCCAAACCTTTGAAAAAGCCTAACCTAAAAAAGGTGAGTTGACACCCTTGTTCCTGACAAACTCGCCCCATGAGCGGCTGTACACATACTGGTTCAAGCCTTCATCCGATCTGACCTCATGCGCGTGTGAACTATTATTTCACTGTCTCCACAACATTTACCCGGCACAGTTATGAGGCTAATAAACATCCGAAATCTAGCTAGTGCATACCAGTGGCGATCCGAGACTGGAGGGCGGGGGTGGGGACAGAAATTTTTCTTGGATGAAGGGGCGTGGTGATAGC